CTAGGTTTAAGTGTACCCTGGGATTACCAAGATTATTATATTATCTCTAAACATGTACTTACTATTTTGAAACAAAGGCTATTGGATCAATATGTACAAGTCTGAAACAGCTCAAGAAACAAATGTAGCAAACTGTTTTATTATAATTTATTCACTGTTGATTTTAAAATGCAACCCTATTTAAACTGTATTGATAAAGAAAAATATCGAGTAGCATTATCACGTTTTAGGTGCAGTTTAAATATTGAAAGTGATAGATTTGTTAAGGCTAAAAGACACACCCGACTATGTATTGTTTGTAACCTTTAACGCAACAGAAGACGAGCTTCATTTCCTCTTAATATGTCCCTTTTATAATGACCTCAGATCACGGTTTTTACCACAATATTATTGTAAATATCCATCATTAGATAAATTCGTCTCAATTATGTCATCAAACTCCAGCTTGATCTTGATATCTAAATTCTTGTTTTTTGCACTTAAAAGAAGAATCGAATATGTAGACCCTCTTCTTCCATAATATGTATATTTTTGTATTTGTGTTAGAATGTTTTTTTTTGTTTTATTTCTTTTTTTATACTTAAATGTTTATTGTATATTTATATAGAGCTATAAGGTATTGATCTTAACGCTCGGTAAATAAATGAAAAATGGATATAGACAAATTGAGGATGATGAACATTTTGTTTTTAAAGGGGAAGTATACAAAAGTTTATTATCAAAAATATTGTAAATTATATCTGAGAATATTTCTAAAATATACTATCTACATAGCGTTCACAGTAAATGAAGTGTTTAACTCAGAAGTTTTGTCAGAGTTCCACTTTAACAAACGTTGACTGCATACTGGTTCGGTGGGTGTTGTAATCACAACATATTTCCTGCTACTGCGAAAGGAAGTACCTTCACCGGGGGCCTCCTTTCCCAGTCGCAGTAAAATATTGCTTATTTGTCGTCTGTCGCTTAAATAATAGTATGAACGTATGATTTAAATACGGGGGTATGAAAAATTCGAAGCCATTTTGAAGTCTAAATTAACTTACACAGCCAGTTTCTGAAATCTTTTCCCCCAAAAACTTCTAAGCCCCTTTTTAGTCTCATTTGCCACCAAGGAAAACCCCTTGTCTGGATTTCTCTTCCCCGGTCGCATTATAATACATGTATTGTTGTCTATTATTCGTCTCCTATATAATAGTCCCAGTATACTATATATGCATGTTTTAATGCAGGGATCAGATTATTAATAGAAAATGCACATTTGACCATGGGATAACATTTTTATATTCATAAGAAATAAATCCAAAGCAAACACTACACAAATTTAAGCATAAATATGTACTAATGATATATTCTACATTGTGAAATCAAGTATTTTGTGTGGCTGAACTAGTGGTAACAGTGTTAGTTAAAATCCGCTCACGTTTAGAACATGTTTATCAGTGAACCTTGTGGTATTAATTGGTAGCACTAATAGTCAGTAGTATCGACGGGGGTGATCGATACTGAACTGAAGATGTAGCAACGACTTGGAGTAAGGGGGTTTCGCCTGTGTAGCTCTGGGAGTTGAAATGGTTTTCTAAGCAGAAGTGTCGGGACTGTCTTTGATGCTTGAGTTCGGGTTTTGGATTTAACTTGTAAATAATAAGATCTGAAATGTTGTACAATGTAATATGAATTGGTGACGACTGATGTTTGCTGGTCATATTTATATTGGTCATTGCATCATAGACTTCAAGGGTGTTTTAATCAGTCGCCATTCAATTCATATACATTGGGTAACTTAATGAGCTAACTATTTATATTAGCAGTCATATTATCTAAGATTATTAAAAACATGAAACACAGTTGATTAGCATAACTATATAATTGATATTCTTAGATAATATTACATGCTGTTATATAGGCTATTATACATGCACGAAGTTTCAAGTCTTCATAATTCTTATTTTCATCTGTTGTCTCTATTGTAGCTATGATAAGCCTGATTCGATATCAGTTCACCTTAGTCGATATTCGCGTTATTTTTAGTTATTTTAATGTCCATTACTCTCATTGCTTCAACAAAAAAAGTTTACGTTAAAGTTTTGACGGATCGCCCAGATATAACCATCTCTATTCAAGCGTTCACTCCACTCAGTGGACAATATATTATTTGCATTGGATACAAGTGAGTAGTTCACATTTTGACCGACTTTTTGACTCTTTTATTGCTGACCGTTGAAGTGCCACGCTATTTATCAAGCTAAATTTAACATCTATTAGAAAGGAAATATCTGCACGGGTCAAACCCCATACGACAATGTTAGAAATAACACTGGGATTATTCATACTTCTTTTAGGATAATTAAAATCGACTTTCGAAGGTAAGTATATAAATATAAATAAATATAACGCTATTGGTTAGGATAGACAGTACAATAACTTTCTACAGTTGACATATGTTGTTTTTTGTGAGACGTGCTTCGTTTACAATACTCAAAACGTAACAATGAGTTCAAGCTGTTTGTTGGCAATATTATTTTGAATTGAGCTTCAATAACTGGAACTACCTATCCACATACCTAACTGCGTTTCATAAATCATTCAAACCACGTGAAATTAAGGAATGTACAGCAAAGGCGTTTATCTACTAAACCATATATTCATAAAACTAACCGATTCACAATGATGCTTGGTACGTGGTCAATTCGATATTCACCATAATAATGTGCAATAAATTATAGAAAACAAAATCTATAACCGATTTACCTCTGGAATTATTACCAACATTATTCAGATCACATTCTGTGTAAGAAACATACTGTCTTTCGTTTTAAAATTTGCCAATTTTTCTTTTATCTGAATCAAAGTATTTATTGTAAAATTTAATATATATATTAGCAACTTCGTCTTATTAGCGTCAGTACATGCTACTACAGAAAGTTTTGTTTTATAATTAGGGAACCAAACGTCGGATTTTCTTTAAAACATATAGTACGGATAGCTTGCTGAAATATAGCTAATGTACTGGTGAATCAAAAATTTAAATGACTTCATCCCTTACACTAAATAAAAGACATACCCTATTGATTAATTTTAATAGATTCCAGATGGAGAGAATTATAATCTTCCTGAGATTTATTGACAACTTGGAACAGGTGTTTTGATGCCTCGGTAGTTTTGTTATTTTGTTTATCCTTTTTACTGCGTGGTAAATCGATTTTCGGATTAGCACACGCCAATCGAAATCGGAACCTACAGAACCATGCAAATGACTCCATGTCAAGAACCTACTCTCTAACCGACTGTGCTATAGAACCTGACAATAACAATAATTTATTGAGGGTAATAAGGTGGATACAAAGTAATAAGGCCATTTTCAATTAAACTCAATAATACAGAAGTAAGGTCAAACCGAGACGATATTGGGGTCTATAAATAATATAAACATATATGTATATATATGCTGTTGTCACCTGAATTCTTTCTACATATAGCGACACTGTGTTTATTAGTGACACGTGGTATAGGAACAAAATCAAAAAACATAAATATAAAACGTCTATATATAACCACCAGGCCTCATGGGCCTGCAAGTCACTTTAAATTGAATACCATACAAGTCACTTTTAATTGAACACCCTACAAGTCACTTTTAATTGAATACCCTACAAGTCACTTTTAATTGAACACCCTACAAGTCACTTTTAATTGAATACCCTACAAGTCACTTTTAATTGAATACCCTACAAGTCACTTTTAATTGAATACCCTACAAGTCACTTTTAATTGAATACATCAATTTTTCGTCAATGAAAGTTCATTAATAGTTGTGAATTGAAATTATTCAATAAAAAGTTAAGGTTTATATGAACACCAGTTTTAATCATACAAATGACGTTATACGTCTCAATTCAATTACACTAGTTATAAATCGTGGACTTGGACAGTGTTACCGATTTAGTTACATCGTCTAGTCCAAGACATCTGCCTCTATTCCTCCAGCCTCTGTTATATATTTTGACAGTATATCGGCTGGAGTAGCCGACCACTTTCAAAATAGCTATCAGAGGCTGGAATAGAGGCGGGTGATTCTGTATTATCATAAAAAACCTTTCTCATGATCTTTTGCTTGGAGTCAAGTAACCTTTATTCTTTATATATCCCGATGAATTCGGAAATCCTACTTTGATCTGCATCTCGAATATGACATATGACAAAAAAACAATTATATGACAAGCGAGTTTGTTTCGATTTTCCAATCGTCAATGTCCGTTTATGTGCAGCGATATTCCGCATTCGCCAGCTTATGGAGTGTCTCAGATATTTTTGTCTAACGGCCAAGTTTAAACTTGGATTCACACACGTTACATGTCATGTTACCACCAGATGGTTCTATAATTTTACTCCAGGTTTGTTTTGCCTCCCTATTTTATGTATTGTGTTAAGCAGTTATTGCGAGTGCAGTTGACAGGGTATGATCACTTGGTGCCTCTTGAATTTAATTATATGTTTTTTATGAGTTACGTCCCTTGAACTTCTCAAAATTCATCAGTCGAGTCACTGTTCCCTGTTGGTAGGCTCCTCTTTGTCATGTTTGTTGTGTATATTAAACAGCTATGACGGGTATTTTATTTCATTATGAAATACTTACTCACTTATGATTGATATATTTCCTCATGTGAAAAGTTCATTAGCTGCAACTAATGTTGTTTGGACTTGAGTTAGTACTTTATTCTTTATTTGTCTGTCTCGAGTGTAAATATGTACTTGATTTATACACACCCACCCTACGCAGGAATTTTAATTCCTTATTCACCTAATGGAACGCTTAAAAAGGACCGGGAGTTAAAGCGATGGGATAATCTCGTGCCACACTCAGAGCTATCCCTATAAGTTGTTTTTTTTATCCGATAATCAGACAAATAATTCAGCCAATTGGCGAGAGCTTAGTCTGTTATATACTAATAGATTTTAGATTACTATGAAAAAGTTTGTCATTTAAGTTCTGGTTTTGTAAAATGCAACTATCTTTTGTTTGGAGATATACGTAAGTTTCTCTTTTAGACTTGCATAATGGGTATGGACTATCTCAAATACTGTAAATAGGATAACTTAGTGTGCCATGCCTATTTTGGTTAATATTAAGTCATATCGGTCTTGCTGTCTCAATCCAACGAGCTTCTCAGCTTGACGGATCAGATATATTTGCTTCGTAAAAGTTTCTGAAATTAAGGGAAGTATTTCGACATAAAGTCTGTTTTAGCTGCTATCACCGCTATTGAGATTTTTTATGTTCATAAAAATTGTTTAGAGTACTCGCGATCTTTCAGTATCGTATATATTATGATTGGTTAAGTCAGTAGAATCTGTATAGGTATTTTTGAGTGAACTGAACCCTTGTGCGAGGATCAGTGTGTGTCTGTTTCTTTATTTTTTAATGTTCCACTACGCCCCCAAACCCCCCTCTATCAGAACAGAGAGGCGTTGACTTTGTGTGCTTTTGAATGTTTACATATATAGATATCGGGTTAAACAAACCCCTTTAGTCCTTGTAATGGAAATATTTCTGCTTGACACACACTTTTGCTTATATTTTAGGATGGCTAATACGAAACGCTGGTGCTGGTATATTCCTATAGTATCATTAATATGTACAGTTATATGGTATTCATACACCATGGAATCGACTAGTCGAAATCGTGTAGCCATTACGGCCTTAAAGCCGCGAGTTATTGATGACACTAAACAGAACGTCGTAGCGATCCTGAGTAAACAGAATGTGGTACCAACTGTGAGTAAACTGGAGAAGAAAAATGAAAAATACTTAGTATATCTGTGCGATGAAAAGAGAGACTGTGGTGGCTGGGGTGACAGACAGAGAGGAATAGTTTCTTTGTTTTTACTTTCTTTGGTGTGGAAACGGACATTTAAAATTTTGATATCCTCTCCATGTGATATTAAACCCTATTATACACCCACCAAAGAATATAACTGGATATTCACCGACGATGAATTGAAAGGGTTGAAAGATCAAAAAACGAAAACACTGGATTTTGTAGGCGTTGATGAACCTCTGATGAACATGAATATGAACAGCTCAGAGATTGCGGATGTGTTGTACATTAAAACCAATTGCGTGAATTTTTTAATAATAGCCCTAAAATATGCCAATTTTTTACCTGTTTATTTAAGAAAAAAGGGAAGAGCCAGTATATTTCGGGAATCTTGGAACAGATTTATGATTCCAACGGACAAACTGCTCAGTCAAGTAGTGAAAATAGATTCAAGGGGAGAAATAAATTCAGATGCAAAAAAGTTGGGAAAGGAACTAGTTTGTGCACATTTACGAATAGGTCACAGTAAATATTTACCTAATGATTATGTTGGATTTCCTCTTGTGGCTGTTCCAAAGGTGTGGAATTTTATTGATGACAATTTTCATAAAAAATCTAGGATTTTTGTGGCCACAGATAACCTCGATGTCAGAAAAAGCGCTATTTCTAAATATGGTAGAAGATATATCGGAAGCTACGCTTACACCATGAATCCAGATAATATGCGATCAAACTTAACATTGGCTTGTAGTTCTCAAGAATCTGCTTATGTAGATCAGTTGATGTTATCGAAATGTGATGTTCTTATTTTTTACAGACGAAGTGGCTTCAGTATTCACGCTTCATATCTCAAAACTGAGTGGACAAATATTTATTCTATCTTAAGAAACGGTAGCAGTACATTTTCTCTGCAAAAAACAAATATTTATTGATTTCGTAATAGATTCTCCCAAATATACAGGCCTCAGATGAAACAAATACTTCATTGAAAATTGGAATAGGTGGTCTGGATCGACATGGTAGTTCCCCGTAATATAATAGTCATGGTTTTACGAGGACCAGTAAAAAATATTGACTATACATTTTACTCAATATGACAATTTTACTCTTTTTGGAAATCATAAATTATTTATAAACTAGTGTCCAAAAGAAACGATACCACCTGTTTGCAACGACATAAAAGAAAAACTAAACAATGCAGAAGTTTAGGATTGGTGTTATGCTTTTGAGAAATCCTTTCACAACATCTGTACAAAAATTCCATTTCAATAAAATCTGTACAACCAATATGACAAGCCTTTAAAGATGGGTGGGGTCGAAAAAAGAACATTTCGTTAGAGCACTGATCACAGAAACAACGGGAAATGTCACACCACACGTCACAAAGTCAAGCCAGTAGCGGGTATGTCCACCGTGAGCATCAATACATGCCAGAACACGCCTACGGACTGATGCCGTCAAACGTCTGATGACGTTGGGAGTGATTCGTTGCCATTCCTCGAGGAGACATCGTTCCAAGTCCTGGACGGTGACTGGAGGCACACGGCAAAGTCGGATTTTGCCGATCGAGGTGGTCCTATAAGTGCTCGATGGGATTCATGTCCGGTGAACATGCGGGCCATGGCAAAACCTGTACGTTGGCGTTGGCAAGGAAGTTCTGTGTCAATCTTGCTGTGTGTGGCCTTGCATTGTCATGTTGGAAAAGGAGTCCACGAGGCTGTTGCTGAATAAAGGGCACCACAACAGGCCGTAGGATGTCATCAATATAACGCTGTGCATTCAGGTTTCCACGAATTACGACAAGCCTCGTTTTGACGTCACCACATACGAACGACCGGACCTGTTGGATAAAGTTAGGCGCCAAACGTTCACCAAATCGTCAGTATACAAGCTGCCGTCCATCGTTTTTGAAGATGAGGAATCTGCTCTCATCAGAGAACATATCACGTGCCCAGTCCCGCCGTTGCCAACGTCGAACTCGCCTGGTCCAGATCAGTCTGTTGTTCCGGTGTCGAGGCGTCAGGAGCGGTCCGCGGTAGGGATGACGTGGCCGGATACCATACTGCTGTAGACGGTCTGTCGACTGATCCTGTGTCCCAGTGCTGTAGCCGCCGTGGACGTCGCTGTTACGGTGCGGTTCCTCAGGTGTAATACCCGGATGAACCGATCTTCATGGGGCGTGGTTACTCGTGGTCTTCCACTCCTGGGCCTGTCTGACCTGTCTGACGTAACCGCTGCATCAACCTGGTGATAATGATGCGTGCGCAGCCCAACCTTCTGGCGACGTCGACGTGTGTCGCTCCTTGTTGGACCATTCCAACGGCTCTCTCTCTGTCGATGGCTGTCAAAAGTGGCATATCTTGTGTTCTTTTTGTTGCTGTGATATCAACGTGTCTGATGAGCCGTTTTATACAGTTTTTATGCACGTGCAGAACATGCTAGACAGGGAAATGTCACTTTCACGAAATTTACGTTTTTTCCCGGAAGTGATCACGTGTTCAAGGTATTTTTATCGACTATGCTGTGTTTGGGATGTGCAATACGAATTGGCATGTTTTCATATTAGACAATTCACTTAGTAAAAAACAATTTTGAAAATAAGTTGGTATCGTTTCTTTTGGACACTAGTTTATATAGTTTTTTATACGCCCACATTATAATTGTCATCACCCATGTCCGTCCGTCTATCCACAATTGGCTTGTGAACGCGTTAGAGACTACAGTTTTCATCTGATTCGAATGAAATTTGGTGTCTTTATTTATATTGATGAGATCTTGGACATGTTCGATATTCACGATTTTTCGATGAACGGTTTTTGAGTTATTGCCCTTGACTTAGCCAAAACGCGTCAAAATTGGCTTGTGAACGCGATAGAGACTACAGTTTTCATCTGATTTGAATGAAATTTGGTGTGATCATTTATATTCAAGAGATCTTGGAAAAGAACGAATTTGAAGATCTTTCAATGAACGGTTTTTGAGCTATTGCCCTTGACTTAGGAAAAACGCGTCAAAATGTGTTTGTGAACACAATAGAGACTACAGTTTTTATCCAATTTCAATAAAATTTGGTGTAACTAGTAATAATGATGAGATCTTGGACAAGTTCGAATTTGACGATCTTTCAATGAACGGTTTTTGAGTTATTGCCCTTGATTTATGAAAAACGCGTCAAAATTTGGTTGTGAACACAATAGAGACTATACATTTCATCCGATTTAAATGAAATTTGGTATGATCGTTTATAATGATGAGATCTTAGTCCAGATTAAATTTGACAATTTTTCGATCAACGAAATTTGGGTTATTGCCCATGATTTAGTAAAAACGCATCAAAATTTCTTAGCGTTATGGGTGACAGTTTATGTCAGAATTTTATTAAATAATGTGTGTTTGTTTAAATCAACAATATCTTGCACAAATTAAATTTTTGGTATGATTTGACACAGATAGGTGACTGCCCTTGATATACTGAAAATGTATCAGGAAAGTGGGCGTATCTTGCTAGGCAACCACTGTCTTGTTGGGGGTTGTTTTATGGTGTTAACTACTAACATCTAACTTTGGATAGTTGGATATTGTATATTGTATATTTTTCAATGTTTATAATACCGTTAAATGGGATTGATATTATTGTAACGCTATATTTTTTAGACGTATTATCGTCCAAATATTTGCCAGACAGATTAATGTATTTATAGGGGGCCATTACAAAATGTTTTTTTCTCGTTTTGCTGTTAAAAGGTTAAAATATTTAATTATGGTTCAAAAGCACTTGAAGCTGTTTTTTTTTCTTCAAGTACCACCACTCGGATCCATGAAATCGTCCAGGTGATGAGTTCACTATCGTATAACATTTAAACAGGTAACGTTATCAATCACTTGATACTGAGAGAAACTGTTCCGTTTCAGGCACCACAAAAATTTAGTACAATAGCCTCAAACTTCCGAATAACACGTAATATTATAAATTGGCACTCCAAAAATATTTACTTCCACCTTCAAAAACTGTTAAGTCACTCTTTACATTAAACAGAAGTTCTCGTGTGTTCCAGAATCTTTGGAAGTCGAGTTTGAGTCAGGTTGAGAAGGAATTCCTTTTCCTCCTGATTCACTCTGCTCTTTCAACTCGACTACTACTCCTATTCAAACGGAGCACACAGGAGTTCGATACTAAGGGTCGGTATTGTCCGAAACTTTGTTACATCTCTTTGTAGTGTGTGGCAAATTGTCACCACTACGGAACAGCTTCTGCTACTTTATGTCGAACTCTTTGGGAAAGCCCACCCAGATACACGAATTTGCAGTATTCATGGCATGGATGGACCACTCTCTGTTCCCCCACATATACCATTATTTTCAAATCATATGGACAAATCGGTCTGCACCAAAGCCTGTTGGTGACATGATTGATAATCTATTGTATCGCCTATATGTATCCTTACCCTTCAACAGCAAGGCCAACCAGCGTTTACCTTCAAACTCAAAGTCTCTGAGTTGGATGGTTTTATCCGTCCAGCAATGACGCGAATATTAGATCCCTCAATCGGACATGGCTCTCTAAGGTTACGCAGGTCCTGATCGACCATTACCAAAACATACTTCAAGAGAAGCTGACCACCATTCGTACCAAGTCTTTATCATCACCTGCCGTCGACCGCATCGTTTCTCATGCCCTGTCCTGGACCCGTCGCTCCTATGGGAAACGTCTCACTCAAGCTGTAATCACCAAATTCTACCAAACAATCAACGAAACAAAAACCAACTGAAATGGGCACTACACCTGCACCATCTAGAGCCACGACGCTGCCGAACCAAACCCCTAAACGAGTCCAGCAGACATAGGTAAACGCTCTCATAGAGAGGGCACTCCCCTTCTCTTTTCACTTTCAGACTCGTCTTCCCCTTCCACACCATCTGAATCTTCACCACGTGATCCAGGATCCACCAACCTTTCTTCCTTCTGTGCGTTTTTGGACCAGCAAACCACCCCTCAGTCTCTATTCAAGTCGAGACGTGTATCCAGACCTCCCCCCCCCCCCCCTCGAACCAGATCCCAGTCCGTTCCCAATGCTACAATTCTAACAACTACCAAACCAGTACCAATCACACCGTCGACAACCATTATATCCGCTACCAAACCATATTATCACCAAACCAAGGACAAATTATTATGGAAACTACCTGCTCTAAAGAAATCTACCTTAATTATTGGATCATATAACCTGAATCGAATTACCAAAACCAGTTCAGACACTGACATATAATCTTACCCCGGTGCCCAAATCCATCACATACACTCAATCCTGGAATCATACGACCATGATCCCAAACCTACTACCATTATTCTTCATGTAGGCCTCAACAACCGTGATCAGCTACCAAAGACCTCCTTTAACCAAGCCCAGAAATTAATCGCTACAGCCAACAAAACCTTTCCAAACTCCAAGATCCTCTTCACATGTATACCCATTTCAAATAAAATCTCGAAGAAAGCACAACAGAACCATCAACAACATGATGATGGAGTCCAGTATCAACAGCGCAACAATCTTACCACCCTACGAAGAAGAATTCGAACCAGTTGATAATCTTCATTGGTCTCCAGAAACAGCAAACATTTGTATTGTAAACGATTTTTACGAAACATGAAAAATTTCACCTTAGCACAGATAGCAGCTAAAACAGACTTTATGCCGAAGTACCTCCAGGTTTAAGAAGTGCTCCATGTTTCTCCAGTAGATGCAAAACATGCCCCCTTATATCAGAAACTTTTGTAAGCAACTCTACGAATAAAAGGTACCCGATCCATGAATATCTAACATGTGAACATTCGAATGTAATATATTTAATTTCATGCAAGAAATGGCCCAAACAATATGTAGGAGAAACTAAGAATAATTTACGAACTCGCTTTAATGCTCATAGGTCA